GCCATTCTAAACTTGAATCCCGGTGTTTTCATTTTTTTTGTCTGTGACCACAGAAAAGCTGACTTGCCTCTTTGAACAGCTGTTTATTAAACCATGAAACGGGGATAATATGGTTGCTCCGAATGAAATTGTCTATCTGTCTATCTATCAATCTACACATACATGTACCAACCACAGGACTTGAGATATATACAATATGTCAACGTGAACTCCATTTTATTTATCCTACAACCTCCACTTGGCTTTCTTCCCCACTTTGCAGACCTTGGTTAGCCTCTTGATGCTCCTGAGCTTGTAATTTTGTAGTTCTTAATTTGAAGGTTGGTCCCTGGAAGACAGGTGGATTATCTAACACTTGCGTAGCTCTTTGTAATGGGCAAAGCACTTTCCAACAATATTCTCATTTAACACTCTTTACCTCAGCTCTGTCAATTAGGTGTTAAAAAAGTTCCCATTTAACAGTTGAAGAAACAGTCTCAGAGGGGCAACATGACCAGCCCAATCTCCAGAAAAGGTACAACGAGGACTTGGACCCTGGTCTCTCAAGCTTGGATTCCTTGCTCTTCCGTAAACCTCCTTCTCTTCTGCAGTACCAGGAGGAAGGGAAGCCTTGGTCCCATATACAAACTGTTGTTAGTTTAAAAACAAAGTATTGCCTTTCCATTACAACAGCCCTCTCTGGCCTGGGAGTAAATTGTCTCAGTCCACAGGTCACCCATGTTTCTTCTGCCTTGCTGGTGATGCCTTTGAGAGCTCAGAGATGTCAGCTATAACCCAACAAGGAAGCCAAACTTTATCCCTTCCTCCCTGTCAGTTCTTTCTTTCTGGACTCAGCCTCAGACCTCCATGAACACATTAGTACTTGAGCCTGTAGAGGTGGTACACTGTGTCATTTGTGTTTACATCTAATGGACAATGACCAAGCAACTGGCATGTAAGACAGTGTAGCTGATATCAAAAACACAAAACCCAGGCCAGGCACAGTGGCTCACGCCTGTAATCCCAGCACTTTGGGTGGCCAAGGTGGGGGAGGGGGGGCACAGATCACTTGAGGCCAGGAGTTCGAGACCAGCCTGGCCGACAAGGCAAAATCCCATCTCTACTAAAAATACAAGAAATTAGCTGGGCGTGATGTCACGTGCCTGTAATCCCAGCTGCTCAGGAGGCTGATGCAGGAGAATCGCCTGAACCTGGGAGGTGGAGGTTGCAGTGAGCTGAAACTGCACCACTACACTCCAGCCTGGGCAACAGAGCAAGACTTTGTAATAATAATAATAATAATAATAATAATAATAATAATAAAACTTAGGCTGGAATCTCTAGGCAAACAGTGGTATTTGCATGTTTTGTTCAGTGCTGCACCCCCAGTGCCAAGAACAGTGCCTGGCACATAGCAGTTGCTCTGAAAATAATTGTTGAACAAATAATTGAACACATCTGTCAAACAAAGCTAATGATACCTCCCTCACAGGGCTGTGGGAGTATGTGATGAGGCAAGGCATATAAAGTGCTTAGTTTAGTGCTTGGCCCATTGTGACCATGTGATTCACAGTACCTGCTATTGTTGTGATTGTTGTTATTCTCTTTGGAGGTGGCACCACTTGGTTCCATTATTTAAAAAAAAAGAAAAAGTCAAAATGTTCAGATGTCCCCAGAATAAGGTGCTTTGCTGACAGTTGCTTTAAGCAAGGGAGAAAACTGTGCCTGCCGATGTGCAGAGAGCAATGTAAGGAGGAGGGCACATTTTGTCACCCCCAGCCCTTGGGGCTAGACTACCTTTGCCCCAAGTCCTAGTGAGTTTAGGAAACTTCTTGAAGTGCACAAGGAAAGGAACAGAACTTCAGATTTGGTCGGAAGTTCTGTGCAGTTTGAGGGGAGGCTGTTGCCATCAGGGAAACCAGAGAATGCAGTAATTCAAGACCCCATTGCACTTTGTAGAAGAGTCCCAGGGATTCTGACTTGCTGTTCAGCCAATCGTTAATCTGAGTAATTGAGCTTTGATGACCTCAAGGTCTCCCTTGGGATTCCCGGAGACACGGTTCTGTCTCCTGTCTCCTGAAAGCCATCAGCTTCTGTGTAGAGGGAGCATGTGACTGCAGTGGGAGGGGAGACTGGGTTTTATGCTGAGACAGTCAGTTCCTCTGGTGAACAGAACCAGTGCTTGATGGTGTCACCACACCACTTACCCACACAATACCACATGCCAATGTGACATTATAGTCCAACTCAACAACAGTCCTGAACAAACAGTATTGCATCTCAGCATGTCTTCTGAAATAATACTACAGCCTACGTGGCACCAGGGATCAAAATAATACTATGGCAATACAAAATTACATGCCAATATTCTACTCAAATATTGCCCACAAATTCAACAATGTCTTCAATACAGCACACTTCAATGCAATGCACCATCCAGATGCAATGTTCTTAAGAAATCACTCTTTAACCCAATATGGCTCCTCCAGACAACTGTGGCGCAACATGTCCCAAGCCAATCTAACGCTGATTCAGCAATGCCTATCTAGCCCAAATAAGTGGAAAGAGAATACCAAATAGCACTATTGCTTTGGAAAACCCAGTTTCTCTCCTAACCAAACTTTGAGGTTGTGTATGACTGGGGTTTTCCCAACATCCGTCCCATTGGATTTACCAACATGCAATATTTCCTTTGACCTTGACTGCTGTCTCCTCTCTCTCCTGTTCCCTTGGCCACCATTAGGCTCAGCTAACTGTGGTCGGGGATATTGGTGCCAATTTGGGTCTTGGGGATGGCTCCAATGGAGAGATGGGGAGGAAGACGCCAGGCCTGGAGAGTGCCGTGGACGGAGTTCTCAGCATCCCTGGAAAGGGGGCTGTGCACTGGCAGTTCTGTGTGGTCTGCTTGTCCATCCAAGACAAACCTCAAACCCAGCACTTGATTTGGCAGACGGGAAAAAATAGAACAAAGTTTGCTCCCTTTTTCAAGAAATGGACCCAGGGATCCCAGGCTATGCTCCACTCTTGGTCTTTTTCCTTTTTAAACAAACCGCCTGGCTTTTAAGATCTTCAAAATCCCATTAAAGGCTTTTACCCCTTCATATATTGGAGGCGTTTGATGAAAGGGGGTAAAGGGGAGGGAAAAGATAATGGGGCCTCAGAGAACAGAGACCAGAGGCCTTAATTTCGCCTGTCTCCCCTGCCGGTAATGGTGTTGGATGTAAACACTCCTCTGGTGAGCACTGGAGCCTGATTACAGGATGGCTGGGGAAAGAGGAAGTGTTTGCAAACCACAAGGAGGAATGTCGCCCTTTGAAGGAGTTTGGCATTTATTTTTTGCCTCCTCCACTGTCCCCCCCACAACCCCAACCCTACTACTTTTCTCCACTGCTTTCTTCTCTGGGTTCCTTGTACTGTAAACACAGTGACAGAAATTAGATGTGGGCAAATCTGTTAAACATTTTAAGTTGAAGTGGGGTTGGCAGTTGTCTTACTCCGTGGGATATGCGAGACGAAGCTAATAACTTCGTAATGGGCCTTTTGTTTTTGTCTGGGGACTGGTGGGAGGGAAGCAGAGAGCAGGAGCCAGGGTTGAGGAGGGGGATGCGGGATGGAAAGTCAGGCCCAGGCTGTTATTATGGAACCAGCCCAAGCTTCCAATGTTGGGGACCAAGTGAGCTGGACAGAGCCTTGACCCCAGTGTGTTCAAAAGGCAGCCAATGACTGTCCCCTGTCAGCATGCCGCTTGCCTCTCATTCGTTGGGGCACATGCTCTCTGGTCTCCTAGTCACAAAGCACCTCTCCTTGACAGCTTCATGCTGCAAACTTCCATTGCCACCTCTTCATTTGTTCCATCCGTGAAATTCCCAGTGACGTCAATGGGGTTCCATATGCAAAACACGTGCAATCTGTGGGATCCCTGAGCGAGGCCAGGGAGCAAAGCGTTGGCGCTGTGGGTTTTATGCCTAGATATCTTGCTGTCTGGAAACCTCCGCCTGGGATCAAGTTCCTGTTCTTAATTCTGGTCAGATGGCTGGAGTAGGAGCTTGGAAACCCACAACTGGAAATTCCATCAAATGATCATGTAATTAATTCAACTAATATGTATTGAGGGCATACTATGTAGCAAAGGGGGGCTTGATGTTAGGGATTTGTGGGTGAGTAAGACAAGCTTGGCCTTTGCTTTCATGAGGAGCTTACAGTCTAGTGTGTTGTCAATTAAATATATAATTTCACAAATGATTATTTAATTACAACAGGAGCTGCAGGAAAGAGGAGATATATAGCGTAAAATGGGATGCCTAGTTTAGTCTGGCCTGTAGGAGGAGGTGGGTGCAGGAGTCCATTTTTTATCTTTAGTAGGATGATAGTTTAACCCAGGAATTTGCAACCTAGGGACTAAGGACACTTAGTTCTTAGGAGTTCCATAAACTCCAATGTATCCAATGTCTTCCAAGCTATCCAGAGTAGATGTCTGTCTCCTGGCCTTTCCTGGAATTTTCCAAGGTCGAAATTATTATTACATCCTTTTAAACAAATCAGTTTTGATGGTCTAACCCTCCTGGCTATGTGCCAACCTGATGCTTTTGGGTGCTTTACTAGTTATAACTGCAATTGACAATACGGGGGACATTTATTTGATGACTACTTTAGGCCAGTGCTTTGCTGGGTTGGCAAGCATGTTGCCATACATGATTTGATTTCTTTTTCACAGAAGAGATTAATGGAGAAACTGAAGCTTAGACAGGTTGAATCAATTCTTCAGGTACTAAAGATTACACAACTACTGAATGGTGGAACCAGGATTCTAACCCAAGACTTCAATAGCTTAATCCATTACTCTTCCCAGTAATACCTTTCCTTTCATAGCCTTTTTAGTCTGCTGGTGCCTGACTTACATTAGAGGATAAATTTCCCAAGGGCAAGGAATGTGCCCTTTAGCTCTTTGTTATCAGTATCTTCAAATATATACATGGAATTTGCTATGTGGATGGTTCTGTACTATGACTAGGGAAACTTAATACTTCTTTATTTCTGTTTATTAACATTTCATTCATTGTGGGTGATATATTTTTAATCCGTGTGCGTCGAGCTGTTCTCCTTCCCAGATTTAACGTCCAGGCTCCCTTTTATTTCTTCTTAGGACTAACACATTTTTGACCAACTCTCTGCTCTAGTACATTCTTCTGGATTCCCCAGTTACTATTTGCACAAAACTAGAAAAAGTGATTCAGAAAAAGCTGTTGTAGCACTTCTCAGAGAGTCCAAAATCAAAAGGAGATCTGTTCAGGTGTTAGCAGAGTTGGAAGGAAGGCTGCTTCTGGGCTCATGGGGGTGTCTCCAGCTTGGTCCAGTCACCTGGGAGAGATATGGCAGATTGAAGACTGGCACAAATTCTCTGTTCTTCCTCATTCTGAGAGGTGGAGTCTCATTTTTTTCTTCTTGAACATGTCTGGCTCTAGCAACTTGCTCAGCCAGTATAATGTGGTGGGAGTGCTATTCTAGAACTTTCAAGCCTAGGTCATAAGAACTGTTCAGCTTCTCCCATGGCCTCTTGGAACACTCGCTCTTGGAATCAGCAGCCATGCTGGGAGGAAGTCCAAGCAACCTCATGACGAGGTCCACATGGAGGGGAATCAAAGGCCCCAGGCTGACAGGACAGTTTTGCCATGTGAATGAGCCATCTTGGAAATGAATACTCTATCCTCATTGGAAATGTTCCATCTGACACTGCATGGAACAGAATATGCCATCTCTGCTGATCCCTGCTAAATTACAAATTTGTGAGCAAAATGAATGACTGTCATTATCTTAAGTTCCTGAGTTTTGGGGATGGTTTGTCACACAGCAATTGATAACTGTGACAGAAATCTCTTCTTCTACAAGACAGGCCATCTGTCTTATTGATGCAGAGAGGAGCAGAGAAACTTGGGCTTTTCTAGGCTAACATCAGTTATTTCAAAATCCATTTGCTAAACATTGCTTTGAAAACATAGTTGTATCCTGAGAAGCTGTTTTGGGTAGTGGGGAGGAATTGAGGTGAAAGATTGGGCAGAGCCACAGATCCCATTCCTTCTACTTTAACTCTTTTGTATACTGGGATCCTAATTATAGCTAATGGCAGTCATTCATAAAATGCTTCTAATATGAAATATACCATCCTAAGCATTTTCCATAGATTATTTATTCCTCATAACAACACTTGAATTAGGTACTATTATTGTTCCCATTTCATGGAAGAGAAAACTCAGGCACAGAGAGAATAAATAACTTTCCTGAAGCCACATAGCTAGTGTGGCAGAACGCAGAATCAAACTCAGGATATCTGGTTCCAGAATTGATGCTCAAAACAATTCTCTATACTGTTTTGCGTAAGTTTACATTTGAACACAAAGGCTTTATGCTGAAAGAAATGCCAAAAAGTATTGTGTTTAGCATTTACTAAGTATTTTCAATGGCTTATCATGGTGCTAGACTCAGGGGATTTAGAGATGAATTGATGGCCGGGCGCAGTGGCTCACGCCTGTAATCCCAGCACTTTGGGAGGCCGAGGCGGGCGGATCACGAGGTCAGGAGATCGAGACCATCCTGGCTGGCACGGTGAAACCCCGTCTCTACTAAAAATACAAAAAAGTAGCTAGGCGTGGTGGCGGGCGCTGGTGGTCCCAGCTACTCAGGAGGCTGAGGCAGGAGAATGGTGTGAACCCGGGAGGTGGAGGTTGCAATGAACTGAGATTGCCCCACTGCACTCCAGTCTGGATGACAGAGCGAGACTCCATTTCAAAAAAGAGATGAATTGATAATAATTACAGTTAAACATTGTGCTAAACAGTTTGCTAAATTACATTATCTCATTTAATTTTAATAGCAATCATGTTATTACTCTTATCCCCATTTAACAGATGAGAAAATTAAGTTTCAGAGAAATTAAGGAGCTTGCTTCAGGTTATATGGGTGGTCTGACCACAAAGTCTGTTCCTAACTGCGTTGTGCTTGGTTGACACCCTCTGGTTTTTGAGAATCTGGTTGGGGAGATGGACTAAGGAACAGATGCAATAAGAAGATACAAATGCTCTAAAGTAGGGATGTTATAAGGTGCTGGGGTGGGAGGGCATGGAGGAGAAAGGTCCTAATTTTGCCCAGGGAAGAAGAGAAATGATTGTTTTTAGAGGTGCTGACAGCTCAGGGATAAATAGTTAGACTTTGCCAGTCACGCAAAGCAGATAGAGGTCATTCCACGTGGAGCTGGTGGGGGAGAGGGTACAGGAAGCGTAAAGGTGAAAAAGCTAGGAAGAAATGATACATGAAGGAAACAAGTAGCACACATCTGCATTGCAGTAGATATCACCGGACAAGGGTGCTGGAGAAAATGGCAGAGCAGCCTACAAGGAAGCATTGTTCTCTACCAAGTGCTTTGAACTCATCCCCGACAATGGTGATGTTTTCAAGAAGGTTGACATTGACTCAGAAATGAGGAGCATCCACATAAACCTGTCCTTGCCATTTTGGCTCCAGCTCCTACCTACTGTTTAAAAGCAGCATTTGCAGAAAGCAGAGGTCTCTGCAATTCATGTAAGCCTGTCTTATTCCCCAAGAACACATCATTTATTTCCTATAAGTGCCTGTCTTCCTCTTCTTCAAATATGCTCAGGGTTACAACTTTCTCTGCTTCCTGGGGGAGTTGCCCACTCTACACAGTAATTACTCACTCCATAAAGGCTGTCTCCAAACTCTCCTTCTCAGCCCTTTTTTCCCTGACCCTTTGCAACTGACCAGTTAAAGGGTGAGCACACTGCCTCTCTACTTGTCAAAAGACAACCGCCATTTTGGATCTCATCTGAAAATGGATGTCCCCGGGGAAAGCATCCTTTTCTCCGCTCCCTCCTTTCCTTAGTTTGAAGTCGGTGTAATTTATTTTGTGCCTTTCTTCCTCTTTTCTACACATCCAACCAGAAAAATGGAGATTTATCTATTTATAATGTAATTATAAAGTTGATCTCATGCCCAAGTCATGCGATGTCCACATTGATTAGGGGTGATGAATGCAAGCTTCTAAGTCATAAATACAACTACAAATACAACTTTATTTAACCTCCTTGAGTGTCATTCTTCTCATCTGTGAAATGAAGTCATATATCCTGTTCGATTCATCTTTATCACATCCAGCAAGGTAGATGGGACAGATATGCAAAAACATTTTACACACTATAAAGCAAGCTACAAACATAAAGTGCCAATAGCCATGATATCAGCAGTAGCTAAATTAGTAATAATAATGCTTTTTGAAAATGAAAAAGAATGGTTCAATAAGAGCTGGATTTCATGGGTTTGGAATTCCACTTCCTCTATTTAAGAGCTGTGTGACCTTGGGCAAGTTGTTTAGCCTTTCTGTGCCTCCGTTTCCTCCACTGTAAAAAGATGATAATGTCTTCCTCAAAGAGTTGTCAGAAGAATTAAATCAATGAATACAAAAGTACTTAGAATAGTGCCTGGCACATTATAAGCACTATACAAATGTTTGTTATTGTTATTACTATTCTTTACAACTTGTTTCTACATTTGCAGGTGGAAATTTTAACTTCTTTGGATAAAAATATCCCTCCAGTTTCAGACCCTCATATTCTGTAATTTATTCTAGTTAATTATAAAAAACTAGTAACATGAATAATTGAGTAATAAGTGGACCCCTCATAACTCAGAAAGACAGTTATTTGCAAAAAGGAAGTTTTGGATGCAGGCCATAATTTTGGGCATCTTAGCCATCAAAGCCCTAAACATACCGGGCTTTTTCCAGGTTCTTTGTTGTACAACACTAAGGCTTTAGGGCAGTGGAATTAGAAAATGATCCACTTTAATACAGCTCAATTATTTGTCCACCGTATGCGGTTGATAAATACTTTTATAAAGACATTTATGATGAGAAGTCTTTATACGGTTTTTGTACTTATCTTGTTAGTGATTGCTCAGATAAAGGTGTCCGATAAGGTCCAGGCTTGGCCTCATCATGAACCAAAATCAATACTCTGGGAACTCTGGCTTTCCACCCCTCTCTCACCTCCGCTATGCTATGCGTAACTGTCACCTATTACTCACCCAAAGGATGGTAAAACTTTTAAAATCCCCCCCAAAAAAACCCCTCACAATGAAAATGTATGAAAGAGATTAAGGCACGGAATGAAAACTATTTTTATAGGCAGTTTGGCCTGAGCTTTGAAGTTCAATAGGGAGTGATGTATTGCTATCAGCTTGGATTTCACACCTATTCAATTCTGTAGCCAGGTAATGATGAACAACCTCCTTTGGGTATAGAAGAATGAAACAAAATTAAGGCAAGCTGTGAAACGGCCCCCTTGCTGCAATTTCATCTCCGGGATAGAGTGGAAGTTGCCAGAGTGTGTTTATACATTTTTTTTCCCTTTAAATTAGAAAGGTGGTGTGACAATACTGAAAATATTTTGCAAAAAGAAGAAATTATCGCTTATGATCCCAACACCCAAAGACAAAACAAAATTTTTATTTTAAAATGTTACCGGTTAGTTCTGGTTCCTATGCAGACGTATGATTACAGAGTTGCATGCAGAATTTACTTTAAAAGCGTTTTCATTCTTAACTAGGCATTTTATCATCCTTTCTGCTTCACTTTTCCCAAGTGAAAAAACAAACGTAAAGTCATCATCTTGCTTGGAAAGTGAGCATTGCTGCATCATGTTTATTTATTTTTAATTTTTATTTATTTTACTTTACGTTCTGGGTTACGTGTGCAGAATGTGCAGGTTTGTTACATAGGTACACATGTGCCATGGTGGTTTGCTGCACCCATCAACCCGTCATCTAGGTTTTAAGCCCCGCATGCATTAGGTATTTGTCCTAATGCTGCATCGTATTTATTACCAACCATCATCTTTCATACAGAGCTTTATTTTTTTGTCCTTGGAGGTTTTCTTTCTCTCTTTCTTTCTTTTTTTTTTTTTTTTTTTTTTTTTTTTTTTTTTTTTGAGACGAAGTCTCACTCTGTCGCCCAGGCTGGAGTGCAGTGGCACAATCTCAGCTCACTGCAACTCCGCCTCCTGGATTCATGCCATTCTCCTGCCTCAGCTTCCCGAGTAGCTGGGACCACAGGCGCCCGCCACCTTGCCTGGCTAATTTTTTGTATTTTCAGTAGAGACAGGGTTTCACCATGTTAACCAGGATGGTCTTGATCTCGTGACCTCATGATCCGCCCTCTTAGGCCTCCCAAAGTGTTGAGATTACAGGTGTGAGCCACCGCGCCCGGCGGAGGTTTTCAAATTGAGTGAGCAGCATGTTGCATTTCTGCAACAAATAGCCTTCATTTAGACTCTTTGCCCATGTGGAAGACCATTGTGTCCAAGATTGGAAGTGAAGTTATTCATTGGCCTTCAGATTCTTAGAGTAAGGCAAGGTCCACCCTCTCAGATCCAACTGTGCTCATCTCTGATCCAGTATCGATACCCAGCCTGCTCTCTGAGATCACCATGGGAACAGGGAAGCTTCTCCCAGCATCTGCACTCAATAATTACTCTGGGAGCCCCTCCTCCCACCCTACGCAGCCCTTGGATATGCCAAGCTTGTTCTTATTAGGACTTTTGCATCTGCTGTTCCCACTGTCTGTGACCCTCTTGCCAATTTCTGCATGGCCAGCTCCTCATCACTTAGGTCTTTCTGATCCAATGTCACCTTTTCAGAGGCCCTCTCCAACTGTCCTCATACCCCACCTAGTCATCATTCTCTGCCCCACTGCCTTATTATTTTATCCATTGCACTTGCCACTCTGACAATATCCTACTTATCTGTTTGTGCACATGCCCTGACACGTGTCTACTTCTGTGTACCCACACCTGGCCCCATGTTGAGTGAATGAATGAGAGTATAGCTCATTTAGATCCAGCCTGCTTCACTTCACCCCACCTTGTGAATGCACCTTAAGCATTTATTCAGGCTGGGATGGGAACAAGACACTAAACTGCGGCTCCAATTATTTGCATTGTTATTTACAACTTCTTAGCATTTATTTATGCAGCACCTGTGAGGAGCATGTGGGCCCTGTGATGAGGGCTCAGCATGCACTGTGTTGTTTCATCCTTATAACAACTTTATATTATGAGTAAGCTGACTTTCCACCTTTCCGTTTTTCTGTTCCTCACATACCAACTCAGTCACTCACCGTTTCAATGGCCTGGCTATTTGCCTTCTTCTGAGTTAAGCCCTCTAGCCTGGACTTCGCCTTTCTGCTTTTACCCTGCCCTAGGACGGCAGGGAGATTTACTGGGCAGGTCCACAAAGGCAGCAGAGACGGGGGATCTTACAGAAATTCAATGTCATTCAGTAAAGCATTTCTTGAAATCTACTACATGATGGGATGCGGTGATAGAGAAGGCTATGCCTGATCCCTTCTGAAGTCTGTATAATATTAACTCCCTCCCTCCCTTCCTTTGTCCTTCTCTCCCTCCTCTCTTTGTCTCTCGTTCACCTCTTCCTTCACACCAGGTCATTGGTGGGAGAAGCAAGATACAGGCAATGGTTGCTCAGCAGGAAGTTCAGGAGACTGAGGGCTCCTCTGGGAACCTCTTGTGCTCTGTGGATCCTGGGAACTGCTCATCCACATGGTTCACCTGAAATGGGGTGTGTGTGTGAGAGAGTGTGTAGGTGTGTGAGAGTGTGTGAGTGTGAGAACGTGTGTGAGACTGTGTGTGCATGTGTGAGGCTGTGTTTGAGAGGTTGTGTGGGAGAGTGATGAGAATGTGTGAGTGTGAGAATGTGAGTGTGTGTGTGAGAATGTGTGTGTGAGTGTATGGAGAGCATGAGAATGTGAGAGTGCGTGTGTGTGCATACATGTGTGAAAGTGTGTGAGAGTGTGAGGGACTATGTGTGCATGTGTGTGAGGCTATGTGTGTATATGAAAGTGTGTGGGAGAGTGGGAATGAGTGAGAATGTGTATGAGAATGTGAGCGTGTGTGTGAATGTATGGAGACTGTGGGAATGTGACTGTGTGTGCGTTCATGTGTGTGAAAGTGTGTGAGGGTGTGCATCCATGTGTGTGTGAAAGTGTGTATGGAAATGTGAGTGTGAGTGTGTGTGCATACATGTGTGTAAAGTGTGTCTGAGCATGTGTGCCTACATGTTTGTGAAAGGGTGTGTGAATGTGTGTGGGAATGTGTGACAGTGTGTGAGTGGGTGGAGAGAGAACATGTATATGAATGTGAGTGTGACAGTGTGAGAGTGTGTGTGCACACATGCATGTAAAAGTGTGTAGGGAATGTGTGAGTGTGTGAGAGTGTAAAGGTGTATGAGTGAGAAAGTGTGTGAAAGTATGAGTGCATGTGCATGCAAGTGTGTGAAAGTGTGTGTGGGAATGTCAGTGTGTGTGTGTGAGAATTGTATGTGAATGTGAGTGTAAGAATGTATGTGAGTCTGAGAATGCGTATGAGTGTGTGTATGTGAAAGAGCGTGTGTGAGACAGTGTGTATGTGTGTATGTGAAAGAGCATGTGTGAGAAAGTGTATGTGTGTGTGAAAGAGCGTGTGTGAGAAAGTGTGTGTGTGTGTGTGAAAGTGTGTGTCAGCATGTGTGAATGTGTGAGGAAAGTGTGTGACCATGTGTGAATGAGAAAGTGTGTATGAGCATGTGTGTGAAACGTGTGTGCACATGTGTGTAAGAGTGTGAAAGTGTGTGTGAGTGTGTATGTGTGAGCATATGTGTGTGTGAGAATGTGTGAGTGTGAGGGTGTATAAAAGTGTATGTGTATGTGTGTGAACGTGTGAGTGTGTGTGTGAGAGTACATGTGTTAGTGTGAGAAAGTGTGTGTGTATGTGAGTCTGAGTGTATGTGTGTGAACATGTGTGGGGCACAGGGGATGACTCAAATGCTGAGTCACCTTGGCTGTTGTGCCTGCCCAGCAGGTCACTCAGCTGCATAGTGAGATGGGAGAGAAGTGGGGGCATGTTTTTCACAGTTGGTACTCAGGTGGAAAGCTCCCTGTTTAAAGTGGTCAGAAGGAGGGTGCCCAGCCCACCATGCATCTCACTGACTATTCAGAGGGAACAACATATGGAACCAGTTCCCAGGCTCCAGCATTTGTCCATTGTGGATTAAAGATTTCTGCTTCCTCCAATTTTTGACTGGCTAGAATCAGCTAGGCCACTGCAAGTTGGTGCACTGGTGGGGCAGGAGGATTGGTACAGAATGAAGATTCCCCTGTCCCCTTCAACTTTCCTGTCAGAAACTTTATCCTCCCAACAGCAGTCCTTTGGAATATCCTTGTGACACCATGCTTCCTGGAGGCCCTCTCTTGGCTGATGGCTGAAGACTCAATCAAAACTTACTTGACTTCCTTTTAACCACTCCCTAAGCTCTGTCCCTTATACTTACCCTTCAGTTTCCGTTCTGAGATCTTGTCTCCCTGGTTCTGTGCTCCATCCTAAAGGCTCAAGTGAGAATCTAAGGCATTGAATTTCAGCAAGAATCTCATTTCCTTCTTGTCCCCAGTTGACTATACTCATGCTATCTTCTAAATCTTCCTCCAGTGAGAGGAAGTAAGGTAAGTTTTACTTTTCATTTAATAGTTGGGGGAAATGGAAGAACACAGAGGTTATGCAACTTCCCCATGATCACACAGTATGTGAACTTCCAGTTCACAAACTCAAAACCCAATTGTCTGACTTTAAAGCCTCTTTGTTCCCGTGTGGCCAATATTTGACTCTCCATATTGCCAAGAAACTAGAGGCAAGACCAGGGGTCACTGAGTACCCAGCTGCTGCACCTACTGACTTCACTCCTTTCCTCACAGAACCTGCGACTGGGTTGGGGATGAAGCCACCAACTCATTGCCCAAGTGGTATTGCTTCATGTTTGTTTTTCCATCTGTAAAATGGGCTTAATAATAGCAGGGGTGTTGTGGGCCAGATTAATGAACGTTTGGACAAGTTATTTGAGATTACCTGGGTGAAAGGTGTGAGGGGAGTGCCAAGGGTTATTAGTGCAGAGGCATTTGCCAGGACTAATTTAGGATTACCCATGCTTCCCAGTTAGCAGCCTCCATAGTGATCACTTACCCAAGGAATAGTTAGAGGGCAGGCAATATCCCAACATCAGGCCTGGCTTGTGATGGCAGAGGGTATAGGCTACGGTGGCTTTTCATGAGAATATTGCCTCATTCCTCATTGGTGGTTTGTCCTTCCATGTTGAAGTCTATAGTCCCACTGATGTATTACCTTTGACTTAGTAGAAAGAGGACAACAGGATCAATAAGATAGGCTGAGGACCCTCAGAATAGATACACCCCAGTACAACTTTTGCCTCTCTATGAGCAAGATGATGACCACAGGTGCCTTAGGTAGCCAAAGTACCTGGAAATCAACAGAAAAAATCAACAGCTACCTATGCATGGAAGGAATGGGTGATGAATACATTTTACACAAGAATATCCACACAGTCTCAGAAAGATACAAACTCTATCAGACTGAAACTAAAAAGCCAAAAAGAAATTTCTCCTCTTCATTCTGCTTCACTTTTTATTATACTGTTCAATTTTACATTTTTTTTAAAATAAAAGTTTCAGAAGAGTTTTGGATTTACAGAAAAATCATCAAGATAGTATAGAGCTCTCACCTGTCCCACATGCAGTATCCTCTATAATTAACATCTTACATGAGTATGGTATATTTGTCACAGTGAATGAACCAATATTGATGCATTATTATTAACACCCATACTTCACTATTCAAACTTCCTTAGTGTGTCCTCAATGTCCTTTTTCTGTTCTAGGATCTCATCCAGGATATCACACTACATTTAGTTGTCCCATCTCCTTAGGCTCCTCTTGCTGTGGCCATTTCCCAGACTTTCTTTTTGATGACCTTGACAGCTTTGAGGAGGAGCTTGACAGCTGAGGAGAACTGGTAAGATATTTTGTAGGATGTCCCTCAATTGGGGTTTGTTTGATGTTTTTCTCATGATTAGACTAGGGTTATGGGTTTTGCTAAGTCAGACAGACATGACTCCATCCTCAAGAAGCTCGCAATCTAGTGGAGAAGTTTGACATGGCCATTTTTGAATGCAGTTTGTTAAATGGTGCTAATGTCACCTTGGGATGTCCTTGCTGCTTTTAAATGGCACACAATACTGGAATGACCAGCCAGTCTCTTGTCTCATTTCTCTCTCTTGGTGTTCTCTAACAGAAACAGAGAAAAATTGGTTCATCTATGAAGGGTAGTGGGTGCCTGTTGAAGAGACCATCATAGTTGATCCATATCAGAGCGGTAAGAAAATTACCACATCAATTGACTTCATACGTGCCCTTCAGCCTTAGTTGATGGTTTAACTCACACACCTGAAGAACCTGATCATTTTAATCAGACTTGCTATTTTTTCTGGTTTAAGTAAATTATTTTATTTTCATGCTCCCATGAAAGTCCAGTTCAGTGTGGGCATCAGTCTAGCTACTTCATTAGTCAACTCAAGGCTTTATTGGTAACATGACCTTCTGCTGGATAAAGGTGTGCAAAACCCTTCACTGAATCAAGTTCTCGTGGGGGATTTTCCCAGGAACTGGGGAGGTCAGCTTAATAAAGAAGCTGTAAAGTGTGAAAAGGCTCCACACATGATGGGTCCAGATCTTAGCTCTGTGAAATTACTTGGCTTGCTTAAGTCTTAGTTTCTTCAGCTGTGAAATAGAAATAAAAACCCTTATTTCACAGACTCTACAAAAGGTAATATATTTGTTAGCTGCAAAGTCTTGTCGTGATGGGAAAAAAAAAATGATTATTTGAAGAATCACTAGATGGTGGGTGATGTGTTTTGGCTGCGTTCCCCACCCAAAATCTCATCTTGAATTGTCATTCCATAATCCCCACATATCAGGGGAGAGACCAAGTGAAGGTATTTAAATCATGGTAGCAGTTTCCCCCATACTGTTCTTGTGATAGTGAGTGAGTGAGTTCTCACAAGATCTGATGGTTTCATAAGTACTTGGTAGCTCCTCCTGCGTTCATTCTCCTTCCTGCCATCTTGTGAAGAAGCCGCCTTGTTTCCCCTTTGCCTTCCACCATGATTGCGAGTTTCCTGAGGCCTCCTCAGCCATACTAAACTGAATCAATTAAACCTCTTTCCTCTGTAAGTTACCCAGTCTTGGGCAGTTCTTTGTAGCAGTGTGAAAATGAACGAATACCGTGGGTTTGTTTTGGTCATGGTTGTAATTGTCAGCACTTTGCACAGTGCCTGGAACATAGCAGGATGTCAGTTAATGTTGTTAAATGAATGAATGAATGAATCAATGGAGATGGTTGGATGGATGAATAAATGGATGGAAGGAAGTAATGATGGCCAGATGGATGAATAAATAAATGAATAGGTGGATGGAAGGATGGATGGATAGGTGGATGAATAAATGAATGATTAATAAATGAATGATTAAGAGTGGTAATCAGGGCCCCTCCTACAAATGGGTCTTTTCTCTCTGGTTCCTTGTAATCAGAGGAAGGCAATTATCTCAAATTTGGTTTCTGCCTTACAACTGTTTTGTGGCTTTGAGCCAGCCAACTAACCTCTAAGTTTTCTTGCTCATAAAAGGACGATAATGACACCTTCTTTGGGAGCTGCTGGTGTAGGGGATGTTGAGAAAATTAATTGGGTGGTGGTAAATGGCTCTGAGATCTCCAGATGAAAGGGGCGACAGAGGTGAGCTGTTATTATGCTTGTTATGTTGAGTTCCCTCTCACCGCTTCTGCCTTCCTCAGGGTGGCTCTTCTCAGCCTCCTGGGGCTTCATGGTGCCCTAGAAGCAAGTTTTACTTAGAGACGAAACCTATCTTTCATTGGACTGACTCTTCCCTGGGGTCATTTGGCAGAAGGCTTCCAGGTGAGAGACATATAATCCTAGGAACTTGGCTGCTCTGCCTCATTTCCTTCTAGAAGGATTGATTTTCCCAAATGCCAACCAGGCCCTGCACTGCATAACAGCCTGAAAACAGACTCCCTTTTCCTCCCTCCTGGTACAATAAAATAAGAGATTCCTCTAGATCCTCTATTTTGGGAGTCTCACCTGTTGGCAAGACCTGGGCTTAGAACTGGAGACCAGGTGCCTACCATCTGGTGTCCAAAGAGACCTGGGATTCATTTATATCCACTACCAGATTATAGCCATCTTCCTTTCCCATTTCCCATATGTGGCACCCCAGGTCGAAGGCATAGAATACACATGTCTTTCAGTTTGTGTGTCTCTGATAGAGATAAAAAGGTCACAGACACTGGAGCTAGAAAGATGGTTTGGATGCACAACTGTGTGCGCTTGGACAAATTACTTAACTTCCCTGAAATTTACTCTTTACATCTGTAAAAAAAGGGATATAATGCCAACCACATAGGCTCATTGGAAGAATTCAATGAGATGGTGCCTGTTAAAGTGCTCAGAAGTTAGGCTGCTTTCTTCTTCTCCTCTTCCCTTTCTATTTTAAGAATGTTCTTGGAATTTCTTCTACTCATAATGAATCTTGCCTTGTTTTTTGTGCTTCCTATCTCAGTAAACATTAAGTTTCTGGATCCAGAGACGTGGATGAAAGTCTTACTTCATTCTTGACACCACAGCCCATCACTGTCCAAGGGCAGATTTTTCTCATGCTAGCTCAATTCTGTGCCTTCTTCCATCTTTCTTGCCAGACAATGGCAACAGCTTCCTTGCTGGTCTCATTTTATCTCCTTCAGCCTATCCTCTTGTGGAAGGCACAGAGTTTGTCTTATGGTATACATCTAACTAACTATTCCCCCACTTGAAACCTCTCAATGCCTTCCCAAAGAAAGCAGAGGCCTCAGATATCACATATGGCATCCCCTCTGTGCCCTTTGTAGTTGGAATTGAATGCAATCGCCAGGATACTCTTTCTTGTCTCCTCTCTTCTCTTTTCTTCCTACTCTTCTCCCCCTCTCATTTCTCCCTTTCTTTGTTATCTTCTTCCTTCTCTCTCCTTCTCCTCTCTTTCTCCTTCCCTCTCCCATCTTGTTTCTCCTTCTTCTTTCTTTCTCTGCCTCTTCCTCTTTGACCATCCTGTTTTTTTCTCCTCAGATTTGTTCTCTGCCTATCTCTCTCTCTCTTTATGCCATGCTTATCTCTCTCAGATGCCTATTCCCTGAATTGACATGGGAAAGAATCCCATACTGTGGCCACCGCCTCTTTGTATAGGGCAAAAGGGCATTGGAAGAAGAAACTTCATAATACACCCTTCCCTGTTGACATGACTGTGCATTGGGGAATCCAGTGAGGTTACTGAAGCCTGTTTGACCACGTAGTTCTGATTGGAGAGTGATGTGGGCCTTCCCTGTACTTTCCTCTGTCGGTTGCTGTTCTTTTTTTTTTTTTTCTTCCATGAATGTGACAACTCAAAGCTGTTTTGTTCCTTGAGCAAGTTTAATAACTAATTTTTCTCTATCACTGTAACACCTTATTCCCTGAGAATGAGAAGTAATCACATTGTTTTTTGCTTGTTTGTTTGTTTTGGAGATGGAGTCTCACTCGGTCGCCCAGGCTGGAGTGCAGTGACAAGATCTCGGCTTACTGCAACCTCTGCCTCCCAGGTTTGAGCAATTCTCCTGCCTCAGCCTCCCGAGTAGCTGGGATTACAGGTGCCTGCTACCACACCCAGCTAATTTTTGTATTTTTAGTAGATACAGGATTTCGCCATGTTGGCCAAGCTGGTCTTGAACTCTTGACCTCAGGTGATCCGCCCACCTTAGCCTCCGAAAGTGCTGGGATTACAGGCGTGAGCCACCGTGCCTGGACAATAACATTGTTTCTTAATTATAAATTTCTTAAGGGCAGAGACCATATTTCATACATATTTCCATCTTCAACAAGACATGCACAGTTCCTGGTACAAAGTCAGAGTGTCATCAATATTTGTTAAATTGAATGGAGTGGAGAAATAATATCCTCCTGATTGGAGTCTTTTAGACTTAATCCCCTTTGGTGCCCACACCTCTCTAAATAGATCAGATTATTCTATAATAATAAGGAAACTTGAGGCCACCTTTGCCCAGGGCAGAAAAATTTCAGCCAGATCCATTTCAGCAGGTGATTTTCCTGCTGAAGATGTCTAAAGATTGACTCTTCACAGAAGTTCTGTTTTCCTTTCAAGCATTGTATCCTTGAACCTAAGTATGTTCTTTTAAATATCCATGCAGATTTCCCACCTTTGCTTCACTTTGAACCTGCTATTTCTTGTTTGAATGTGAAGAGTGACTTCCAAGAAACTTTGCCTTAAAATGATTCCCAGGGTTGAAGATAGAAGCTGAGATTTTCTCTCTCCTCTTTCCTTTTATTTCTTTAGATTCACAGCTTCTGATTTTGGCTCTGCTACTAATCATCTTGAGTGAGTCATTTTCCTTCTTGGTGTCAGTTTCCTCAAGTGTTAGTGAAAGGCTGCACAAAACATGACCCACTGCCTGTTTTTGTAAATAAAGTTTTATTGGAACACAATCATGCCCATTTGTGTAGGTATCTTCTTGGGTTGTGTTTGTGCTACAACAGTAAAGTAGTTATGACAGAGATTATATGGTCTAAAAAGTCTAAAACATTTCCTGTCTAGTCTGTTACAAAAAGGGTTTGCCAACCCCTGGAATAGATGGAAACTTAAGACTCCTTTAATCTGAACATCTATGCCATGGTTTAGCTAGTTCTACTGAACGACTTATTCCTTATAGATAGGCATCTCCTCATGTGGGTGATACATGCCACTGGGGTTCCTGGACATGATGTTGGGGACCCACTGCCTGAAATCAAGCAGCATTGAAGTCTATTCTGAGCAGTTATTGTTTTTTCATTTCTCATCCAATCCTTCCCATTTTATCTAAGACAGAGGCTCAAGTTGATACTAGAATGTGGAAGCATGATTCTCTCTGGCTCGTTTCTTCAGGCACACTATCATATTCAGCTGGAATTTAATCACACTTATTTTACCCCCACTGTATGGGCTCATAACCCCTTTTGTGAAATTTCAAAGTCCTAAGCGCTCTGAAAATGGAAATTTTTTCATAAACCATTTAATAGTTATACTTAAACCAAACAGACAGGAGATTATGTATAGCCTTTTAAAAATTTGTCTTAAATGGGATGACATCAAACTAAATAGCTTTTGCACAGCAAAGGAAACAATTAAAAGAGTGAAGAGACAACTTACAGAATGGGAGAAAGCATTTGCAAGTTATATATCTGACAAGGAGTTTAACATCCAGAATATATAAGGAACTTAAGGAACTTAAGGATCTTAACTCAACATCAAAAAACAACAACAAACAAACAAAAACAAAAGCAAAAAAAAACAAACCAAACAAACAAAACAAAACAAAAAACCCTAAAGTCCTCAAAAGTAACCCAATTAAAAAATGAGCAAAAGAGTTTAATAGACGTTTCTCAAAAGAAGACATGCAAATGACCAACAGGTATATGAAGAAATGTTCAACATCACTAATCGTTAGGGAATTGCAAATCAAAATCACAGTGAGATATCATCTCGCTCTAGTCAGAGTGGCTATGATCAAAAAGACAAAATAAAAGTTGGCAAGGATGTGGAGAAAAGGGAACACTTACATGCTATTGGTGAGACTGTAAATTAGTATCACCATTATGGAAAACAGTATGGAGGTTCTTCAAAAAATTAAAAATAGAACTACCACATGATCTAGCAATCCTACTACTGGGTATACAAAGGAAATGACATTCACATATCAAAGAGATATCTGTACTCTTACGTTTAATGCAACATTATTTACAATAGCCAAGATATGGAATCAATTTAAACATCCAACAATGGAGGAATAAATTTAAAATGGCATATATACACAATGGAATATTATTCAGTCATAAAAAATGAAATCTAGTCATTTGTGTCAACATAGATGAACATGGAAGACATCACATTATTCAGTGAAATAAGCCAGACACAGAAAGACAAATACCGTATGATCTCACACATATGTGCGATCTAAAACATTTATGTCACAGAAGTAGAGAGTAGAACAGTGGATACCAGAGACTAGGAAGGGGCAGCAGGAATAGGAAAAGATGGGGAGATGTTGGTCAATGGGTACAAAGTTGCAAAGTTGCAATAAGAGAGGAGAAACAAGTTCTGCCATTCTGTTGCACAGTGGGGTGACTATGGTTAGCAGTCAGGCATTGAGTATTGTGAACTAGCCAGAAGAGAAGCTTTTGAGTATTCTCACCACAAAGGAGTGATAAATGCATGAGGTGATTTGATAATTATGCAACCTATAGCTATCTTAAACATCAAATCATAATGTATAAATATGTATAATTACAATGTCAAAAAAATTTAAAAATATAAGTCTTTCATTTTCATATAATGGTCTTCATTATGAACAAAAAAATCTATCTTAACGTGAATGTGTATATGTTATGCTGCAAAACTATGAATGTATCTAATAAGGGTGCAGTCCTAGGGGTATATGACCCTGTTGCCTTTCTAAAGTCTAGAAAATTCTGAATTCTGAAACACATCTGGCCCTGGGGGTTCTGGATTAGAGATGTGGACCCACATCTCTTTTTATGGTTACTTCCTATTTATGGCAAACTTTTAAATGTATCTAGAGTAAGTCCATTTAAACCCCCCAAAGCACATATATAATAATAAGAGGGTGCTCAGACTTGGCTCACATTGTAGAGTGGTACAGAAATGACTGATGTTTGGGAAAGCTTGTCCTGAAGGATATTTTCCATCCTTTTAATGACCTTTCAACTCTTTTTTTTTTTTTTTTTTCCTGTTTCTCACACTATTTTGTGATCACTAAGCCACCCCCTTCAAACCTGGAGCTTCAAACCAAAGAAGCTTCAAACCTGGAGCATCTGTGTGTGTGATGGTGAATTAATGAACAATCCTGTCTTACCCACGCAATGATATGTGGCTTCAAGAGCTGATTCGACATTCCCGACAAGTTGAGATACCACCTTTGAAGTCACTGAGGACTTGTATAGGAAGGGTTTTCCCTGCGGAACCCGGGTGAGGGCCAGAGTCAGGGATCTCAAAGTTCTGGGTCCTGGACACAGTATCCATGGCTTCTAGGCCAGACTCATCAGAGTGCTGTGTTCTGAAGGGAGCTGGTTCAATTCTTTCAAAGGGCAATCTCCCCAGCCCTAAGTAGTTCTTAAAACACCAAACAACATTAGCTCCCACAAATGAGGGAGGCTTAAACCTAAACCTGATTACAGCCAAGAGTGGCGAGGCGGCCAAGGTGCTATAAAGAAATGATGTTATTATGTCCAAGGGATGCCATTAAAACTCTGTTTACAAACCAAATGTGCCAGGGAGCGGGTCAGGGAAAGAATTATTAGCAACAAAGCTATTTGATCTCTTTTATGATCCAGTGAGTCATATCGCTCCATGATCTAGAAGGTGAATAATGAAAACCTCAAGCCTGTTGATTTATAAACAGGCCCAGAATTCTGTGTTCTTTAACCTCAGATGCCCTCTTAAGTGTGACTTACCCTAAATCAAATGGGACATCAGATACCACTGGGTTTCTCCCTCCTCCTGAGAGGTAATTGAAGAGGTGATTGGCGTACAGGGTGCATAAAATCCCTGTTCCAGGTGATGGATAGCTTCGGGGAAGGGTCACCAGCCAGGACTGAGAGACACGGCTTTGTTTCTACACGCCTTGTATCTGCAGGGCTTGAGGCTCCAAAGCTGCTTTTGTTCAAGCTTCTGGATTCACAGCCGGCCAGGGAAAGGGAGGCTCAGGGGTCGATGTTAACACTTTGTCCTAATAGCCACAGTTTTGCTCCCCTTTTCTCCCTCTGAAGAGGTTATAAGGAGCGGGATCAATCTAGGTTTACATTGGAACTCCACCACTGTGGAATGCAACCTCAGGACAGTTACCTCAGGCCTCTGAACCTCAGTTTCCACATCTGCAAAATGACGCAGTCATGGCTGGAGCCCTTACTCTGTGTCCAGCATTAGGCTGAGGTTCTTTATATGCACCACATGCCAGATTATTTTTATTTTCTATTTAAAAAAAAATTTTTTTTTTTAAAGACGAGGTCTTGCTATGTTGCCCAGGCAGGTCACGAACCCCTGCGTTCAAATGATCCTCTTGCCTGGGCCTCCCAAGGTGTTGGGATTACAAGTATAAGCCACTGAGCCTGGCTCCCAGATTATTTAAATCCTCACAATGATCAGACTAATCATTTATCTCAACCCTGCCATGTAACAGACACTCCTCTAGGAATTTTCTATCTATTTGTTCATTTCATCCTCACAGTAACTCTGTGAGGCAGTGCTGAGATCAGGGGCCTCCAGGAGCCCACCCTGAGACAGGATTTGAGTCTAAGTGGAGGATCTGAGAGGAGATCTCAAGAAGCATGTGCAAGGAAGTGGGGAGGTAAGATGGGAAAGGAAAGAAGTTCATCAAGCCTCAGTCCTTGCCCCATGTTACCAGCATCCCTACTGTGGGCAACTTGCATGTGGTCCCCGTGGGAATCTCTAGGAAGGATGCACGCCAGGGCTGTCTCACCAAATGGCAAGGAAGTTGGGGAGATCAGGCCCCAATTCCTGTCAACCACAGTGCAGGGCTCCTCCAGGAGTCAATCCCAACATTTCCAGCAGGTCCCACATGCAGTCCAAATAAATCCCTCAGGCAAAGAATCGTAGGTACTCACGGTTACAGTCGGAAGCCATTGAGTCTGCCTGCATGGGCACGGTGTAGGGAGGGTATGGGTCTAGCCCCATAATATCCGCTTTAGGTCCATGCTGGGGGAAAAAAACAAAAAACAAAAAACTGAGCCATGGGGATTTGAAGGGTCTTCCCCCAAATTTCCCAGCCGACAAGTGGGAGGAGGGGGCCAGGTTACATATCCACTGGTCATCTCACTTTAGGGTGCATAATGGAAGCTTGTAGGTGATGCTTCATAACCCTCCACAGAAGGTATCAATATTTGATTTTACAAGTGAAGACTCTGAAGTTCAGAGGCGCAAACTGACTTTGTCCTACAGCAAATGAGCAACTCAGCCAGGGCTGAAACTTCCGTGGATTTCCAAAGTCAGGGACAGCCTCAGGACGCTGCAATCCTTTTGCCTGCAGAGAAATCCCCTAGCTTCTCCTGAATCAGACAAGTTCTCCAGTGTCTCAAACCAGATGTTCCGACTCCAAGGACAGGCAGAAGGTTGATGCTTTCTCATTTCCTGAAGGCCAACATCATGGCTGAAGGTGAGGAAAGGTCATCTGTAAGTGCTTGGCTTGTGTCCACTCTGCAGTGAGGCTATCTCCAAGGGGGCTGACTCATGGCTCTAGTGCCATCCAACAGTTTCCAGTTCCTGGATGCTGCCTGGCTCAGCTCTTTATTTCTTCCATCTTTTGTTGTCACCCGGGTCCCATCTTCTATGTTATTTGGGCATGCCAAAAATGATGCACCTTTGAATCAGAGTTGGCATAAAAGGCTGTCATTATGCATACTAAAATGAATTCTTTGAGGCCTTCAAGCAGAAACTCTCCTTCCCTCCCCTCCTCCTCCTCTTCAAGGAGTGATACAAAGACTAAGAAAGTCCCACTGGGCTCGCAAGCACCCTGGCAGGGAGGGCAGAGAGCGGTGTGGAGAAACCACATGGTGCCATTAGATGCTCTTGACGTGCTGTGGTTTTCTGGTTCACTCTGCTAGACTGTGCCCAGGGCTGTTCCTGGAGCCGTCTGTCATTGTACTTACAACTCACATCACACCCCAAGTCAGCCTGTTACCCCGCAGAGCCAACAGCCTGGCCGTTTTCATGCAAAGCCAGCAAAAACAGACCGCCCGGCGGACTGGAAAACAGAGACTCTGGAGCCTCCTCCTTTCTTGCAGCAATAATAAATGATAACAGCATTGAGGATGACTGGAGCTTGATGATGACAAGAAACAAACAAACAAAAAAAAGGTATCTTCTGAGCCCCGGACTGGGAGATTGGGCCTACTTTGGGCACACATTTGCTTGGTAACCTTGGGCAACTGCTTTCCTCTGACTGGGTCTCATCTGTTTGCTCATCCGTACAATGGAAATGCTGAGCTGGAAACGAACGTCAAGTTTCTTTTCAGCATTTGAATATTGCATTAGTTTCCTGGGGCTGCTGTCACAAAATACCACACAAACTAGGTGGCTTAAAACAACTGAAATATATTCTCTCAGAATTCTGGGGGCTGAAGTCTGGAATGAAGCTGTCAGGAGGGCCACGCTTCCTTCAGTACTCTGAATAAGCTCCTTTCTTGCTTTTTTCAGCTTCTGTGGGAGCTGTCAATCCTTGAAGTTCCTTGGCTTGCAGCTGCATTTGTCCATCTCACATGGTGCCCTCCTCTGTGTCTGTGTCCTCACATGTGTGTCTAAATTTGTGTCTGGGTCTAAATTTCTCTCCTTTGATAAAGACACCAGTCATACTGCAGGAGTGCCTACCACACAACAGTACAAGCTCGTCTTAACTTGATTACTCAGTCTGCGAAGGCCTTTGGTTTTTTCCCGAATAAGGTCAAATTTACAGGTAGTAGGGGTTTAACACTTCAACATACCTTTTTAGTGTTGACACCATTCAACCCATTACAGGCATTGCTGAGCGTTTTTCTAGTGACCAGGTTTACGAGGTTTTATTTTGAGATCTGAGGTAGGAGATATTGATGGCTTCCCCTCAATGGAGGAGAAATTGGGGATACAAGAGCAAGAACTACGTTAACTGCAGCCAGGGCTGACATTAAGTTTGGATGCATTGGTACAGCTTTATGGGTAGTTAAAACATAAGAAGACCTACCACTGTCCCGAGATGCTTCCACCCATGAAATCCCTGATCCTCTGGCTGCCATAGTGGCAAGATGGCTTGTTTTTCTGTGACTGAAGCTTCTGATTGGTTTTGGTTAATATGTTGAGTAACACAGGAGGTCCATGGTGACATCAGGACACCTTTGGTGAAAACTGAGACCAGGTGGGGTGAGTCCCACTTCCTCCCACATGCTGCCCCTACAGTGGATCATAAACTCCTCTAGGGCAAGGATGTTTGTCTGTCTGGTTCACTGATGTATTGCCAGTGCCCAGCACAGGAGACTAAGGCTGGAACACATAGTAGATGTTCAGTAAATGGTTGTTGAATGAATTAATGAATTCTCAGATAAATCTGATGGCAAATATAAGCAAAGGAAGCAACAAGAAATAATCTTCTAGCACCAAAGTGCCCTTTGGAAATATTCAGAACCTTTTTATTTTATATCCATTCACTTAAGAAGTAGACACGTCATAACTTGAGATGTGTTCAACACCTTAGAGTCACTGACATTGTCCCCATTTTCTAGCTGAGGCTGAGACTAAGAGGTTGAATACTTACTCGAAGGCACATACAGAATATGTTGCGGGGACTAGAGTCCTGGCCACATCTGCCCAGCAGGGCTGGCCTGTTCTATTCCACACTCTAAGAGAAGCATATCATTTGTCTCCCAGCCCCCAATCCTATGTATTCATTTATGTGATTACATAAATAATGCCTGTCATCCCCATTAGACCAGGAGATCTGTATTATTCAGATACCTACATTTGGTTGTGGTTCAGAGTAGTTGTTCGTTGTAGGCATCCTCTAAGATGGCTCTCAATGACCTTGCCTTCTGGTGTCCAGGCCCTTGTATAAATGCTACTCCCCAACCCCCAATGCCACTGAAGAAGTCTGGCCTGTATAACCAATAAGACATTGCAAAAATAATGTGCAATTTCTGAGACTGGATCACAAAAGACATTGCAATGCCCACCTTACTCTCTCGGGTCACTTGCTCAGGGGAAGCCAGCCACCATGTGGTGAGGATTCTCAAGCAGCCCCATGGAGAGGTCCATGAAGTGAACAACTGAAGTCTCCAGCCAACAGCCATGGGAGTAAGCTGCCTTGGCAGTAGATCCTCTAGCCCCAGTCAAACCTTCAGATGAGACCATAGTCCCAGGTGACATTTGTAACTGCAGCCTCATGAGCAGGCCTGAAACACAACCACCCAGCTAAGCCATTCCTAAATTACTGACCCATAAAAATGAGTTTATAAATGCTTGGTTTTGTTTGAAGCCCCTGAGTTTTGAGGTAACTTGTCATGGGGCCACAGATCATGAATACTATACTCAGTGTAAATTTCTTGAATGAATAAGGAAACCAATGCATAAATCAATGAATGAATAAAAGAACTGTTTTTTCAGGCTAATTATAGTTAGCGAGAAACTAGCTCCATCCACCATGGACTACGTGGGTGACTGCAGGCAAATATAATCTTACTGCCCTGAGTCTCAGTTTCTTCATCTGTAAAATGGGATGAAGAACCTCAGAGAGTTACGGTAAAGATTCAGGAGGAAAAGACAGACAAAGACACTCAGCATAGTGCTTGGCAGGGATCATACTGGAATTATTTAGCACTCAGCACAAACTGTGTATAAGCAGTCAGAATGGTCACCACCTGGCTTGATATCAGCCCTGGGGTGGGGCACACGATAAGCTCTCCAGAACTGGTAGCTGTCATCATAATCATTGCCACCAGGCTAAAGGCTAATAACCTTAGTGTCTGCAGCAAGGAGCTCTCAACTTAGTGTGGGAAAGAGACAAGCAAGCAAACATTTACACTAGTGTGATGAAGGGCATAGGAATGTGTAAAATGATGATCCATTCTGCTACGGGAGGAAAATGCCCGTATAATCACAGAGGGCAGAGGTCCAGAGGTCTCTGGCCCGAGCCTCAATTCCAGCTCTCAGACGCTTTTGAGAGTTAACATTTGTTTCCACTGTTTCACCCAGTTTTGGAACACATAAATTAGTTCTGAGTGGAACTTCTAGCTCCATCACTCGTCTCCTATTGTGACCTTGGACAAGTCACTTAGCCTCTCTGAACCTGCTTCCCCATTTATAAAAGGGGAACCATTAAAGTTTTTAACTCCTAGCAAGCACTTAAGACAGTACTTGGTGCTATTTTTGACACTGGTAAGTGCTTTATAAATGTCATGTGGGTTACTATTGTTACCACTTTTATTATTTGAGGTGCTGAATTAGACCCCTTCTTCCTGAAAGACACTCTGTTCTCATGGAAAAGATGGCTCCATGAGAGATGAATCTTAGTTTTCCTTCCCACACATACCATACACAGGGTCCTCTTGAACTTCAAAGAGAAGCCCTGCCAGGAAGCTCAACTTGCTGTGAGTTTAGCAGGAGAAAGATGGGAGGCGGCTTCCAGGGCCGCTGAGCAGCTGTTTGATATCACACCAGGGTGGTCAAGACTTTGGGGACGGGCCTGTTTACTCCTTGCAGATAACATCTCGAGTGGACTGTGGGGAAGGATGGGAAGGACGCTTAGGGTCAGCCTTCACCTTTGTAGTTGTTTAAATATCGATTATAACGCATCTGAGACTGACTTACGCTAGGGTGAGGAGCGAGTGATGTGTTTGAAGATATCCCATAGATTTGCCTGAAGACTTCATTTAGAGGATCTTAAATCTCTTAACAAAAATGGGTGGATTTCAGTCGTCGTTTTTCTGGTTAAGAAAGTGCTCAGCAGCACTTTTGTTAATAACCTTCACGGTTGAAAACTCTAAGATACCAGATGCCTTCTCCATCTTAATTAAATATGACAATGAATATTAATAAGAAATTGAGCTATCTAACTAATTTAAATGAAATGCGAATTAGATTTTAGAAAGTAAGAAATGCACAGACAGAGAGGTTTTGGAAGCAACTTGTTTTCAAAAAAATGCAATGGCTTTCTCACCGTAGGATTTCCTAAGGTCTCTTGTATGCCCATGTGTGTTTTGATTTTGTCTCCCTGAGAAGGACCTAGGAGGTCACAAGTTTTGCAAGAGTTTTTGGATCACAGAATCTTTAATTTGTGGAGCATAGTGTGAGATTAATATTCTTAGGAACACACTTTGGTCTAGGCTACCATGTGAATAAAATAGGTAAAGTGCTTAGACCAGTGCACACCACCCATAGCAAGTGCTTGGGGAATGGTACACATTATTATTGTTACCGTGGAGGGGGTTGAACTTCAAAGTTGTCTCCAACTGTAAAAGTCAATGATTCTTATTATAATGTCATCACAAAAAGTAATTAAGCTTGTTGGCTTGGATGAAATGGGAAAAAATTATTGAAATTATGCACTCAAAAGAGTTTCTTTACTAATTTAAATTTAGTTCTTAACAAGTAGCAAAGGTGATCTTCATTTGTCTTTTTTTCTTGGGGAGGGGGGTTGTTTTTTCATAAGATCTTAACAAACAGTGAAATCCTCAGAGGCAAATCAAATAATGTCCCAGGAAAATCCCAGGGTACACATTTCGGCATGTGTAGGAAATGCGTTGTCTTGACAAGGGGCATACTCCAGCAGACCCTGAGTTGTACCAGTGTCCTACCTTGGACATGAATGTGCTGTGAGCAGATGGAAACCACCTCACTGCTTTGGATACTGGGCTTTTAAATTATGAAACATAAACAGGGGATTAATGCATCAGCTTGCCACTCAAAGTGTGGTCCACAGATCGGCAGCGGTGACATCACCTGGGGGTATTATTTTTCTTGGAGAGAGGTCCTTTCCCATGTACTTACAATCTCCAGGTTTTGTTTGGCAACTTGGTAAGGTGGCCATTTGCTTAGCCAGATGTGCCTGAACATTTTGGAACTCTGAGTCAAGAGGGCAGTTCCTGCTTCAAGGGGACAGCTGGTGCCAATTCTAATTTTCATTTCTAGATCTGGATATTTATGATAAAGACCTCATCAACCTGGAAGTGTAACATTCCTGCTTTCAGCTCTGAGTTCTCCATCACCTCCCCTGGCCCCTTGCACATACACTCTATCTTCTTTTCCATATAATAAAACAGCAATGTAATCAGCCCCTGGAACATGTCTTGGCATTAGGAGTAAACTCAGGCAGCTCGGTTTATTAGCTGTTTCCATGGGAGAGAACTCTCGGGGCCAAATATATATTTACAAATATTGTAAGCACTCTGCTGCTCCCCAGGAGTGACATTGCTGTCTGGAGATAAATAGCTTCTCGGAGAAGTTAGGCTTTCTTCTACACCCTCTCCTCCTCCACCCTCCTCATCTATCTTGCTTTCAGTTAGATCATCCTATAACCAGAAAGTCCCCAGAAGAGACATTTTACCACCTTTGGGCATTGAGGGCCTAAGGACTTGAGGTTTACTAGTCTGGGGGACCAGAACAGAAATGTGGTTTTGAAAGATGAATATTTTTATATATTTTGTGATTTAGCCAGCAGAGAGTCTTTGTGAACAGAAATGAGCATCTCATAAGGGGTGTTTTTAGTCTCACAGTGCTTAGAGTGGTTGGAGGACCAGGTTCAGGGTGATTATATCAACTTCTCCTCCAAGTATGCATTTATTCAATGAATAGACATTGACTCCCCAGCACATAAGAGCCAGTGCACTCAATACTGAAGTTAGCATCTTGTGTCTGTTAGGGTCCAGCAAGAAAACTGGCATCATTAAAGGTCCTTCAATCAGAGAGAATTTAATAGAGGAAATTGAATCCATAGGTGACAGAGGAACTGAGAAAGCAGAAAGTGAAGCAACCTAGAGTTTACCAATAACAGGAAGTCACTACTGTCCCTAAAGAAAAGGGACAAAAAGAGGCGTTTTTACTTTCAGAGGCTAAGTGCCAGGACCTTCAAGTATAGCCAAGATTATCAAGTAGCTGTAGCTTCTGCCAGAGCCGGATGGGTGTGTGAAGTGATAGCTACTCAACTGTGTCCTCTTCTCTCGCTCTAGTCTTCCACCAGAGCCTCCTATTGGCTGAGTGTACAAGGAAGCAAGAAGGCAAAGGAGCTTGGAAAACGTAGCTCCTTAAGATTTGGAAGAGAACAGAGCAGATAAAGGATCTGAGAGCGAGCAGGTGTATGGTTGGCACATGTGGCAAGAGGGACGGGTACAGTCTTGGAAAAAAGTGGGTGTCATCTATTGCCTGGCTCTACTATATCCTTGACACTCATCTCCCAAACCCAAACTGAATCTGAAGGGATGATGGTCTTCCCCCCTTTTTTTTCCAACCCAAAATTTGCTAACTTGCCAAGAGAAAAACAGTCACATTGCAAAAGGAAATCTACTTAG